ACTTCGGTCTTTATAATGTTTTTAGTAGTCTTATTGGTCTAGCATATAAAGAACATTAACTCGTGACATCACAATGGGTCGTTAATACTGTTAAACTTGGTTTGGGTGCATAAAGCTCCCCCTTTAACGTACACAAATACAATTACATGAAATTGAAGTTATTGATATAAAAACCATTACAGACCTCTTTTATTTAAAAGTGCCCGCTAGAGAAACTGGATCCGTTTCTTAATAATCACAACCTGTGCAACTTTAGTAATATGAACACATTGGGCGAGATTACTAAGGCGCCTCTTATCTACTTTAAAAGTCTGTATAGAAATCGCTTCAGTTGCCAGTCTGCAGCAACATCGCTGGTTGTATATACATACCTGATCACTTAGAAAGAGATTAGAGCCTTATATTTTATTAAGTTCATGTAAGTCTTCGGCTGTTATGTCACTAATCCAAATTTTAAAATTAAACAAAATAAAACAAACAAAACTACGTTATTGGTGCTATTCCCAGAGTTATTTTTTCCCAGTTTTTTAGTCTTGAGGTTATATTTTATGGTAATATACTTGACTTTATATAGTACTGCGTAATGAAATTTTATATATATATATTCTTCTAATCTTATTTTTGCAGTTTAAGTTTGTTACTTAGTTTGGTAATTCAATAGAGTCGGAATGTTGTGGTATGCAGCTAATAAATCAAAAATTCTTTTATCCCATTTCCAGATTTTTTAGCTAGAAATAAAAGCTTAATAGTTGTTTCAGATCATATAGACATTTATTTTTTATGTGTGAGCACTTACGAATTATCTGATAACAGTAAGTAGCCTTCTGAAATTGTATCGCTACTTTCCAATTTTAATCACTTCGAGGATTGCCCTTTGTCCTGAGCCCCTTTTAAAATATTTTTATTTCAAATATTGCTTGTCTAATGAAATACTATTAGAATATCTTCTTATTAACAAATAAATCTGTATATTATAAAGTATTGCTTCCTGACATTTAGTTTTCATTTTCAAAAAAAACAGTTGAATTTATTAGTTTTTTGCATTTATGTCAGAACAACCAAGTGGATGTATTCATTCAAATATTATTACTCCATAAAAAATTATTTAAAGTCTATTTCATGAAAATCAACACAAGTCAGTCAAAGTTTCTTAAAAAAATTTTTATTTTGCTATTTCCTATTACTTCTTACGAGTTTTTGTATAATTATTCAATTTATTATTCTTTTTCATAAGTCAATAAATTAAATTTATTTAATACATTTTCGTGTCTTTCGCACAAAATTATTCACTTGATCCTTTATTTGCCATAAATTTCAACGGTGGAGTTGATACCTCGGCTAGTTTGACTTTTTAGGTTGACAGTTGCGAAACGATAACCTGGACCACCTGACCACAAAGAACCGGTAGCACCAGAGCTATTTGTGAAACGATCCAACACATAAACAGCAGTAATAGTCCTAGTGTTGGTTTGACCCTAAGAAGTTAAATAAAGTTGTTTACATCATGTAAAAATAAGGTTATGTTTAAAAAATTCACTTACGGATTTTGGGAAATCTACTGTAACGGCTTGATAGCTGTTTACGAGTGGTGTGCGGACTACATTTTCGCGTAAGAGTAGAATGTCGGTGCTGTTTCGTGTGCCCCAAGTACTGTTGATACTCTGGGTGAATGCTGCCAATGTGATCACGAAAAGTACGCTCAAAAGAAATTTCATTTTGTTAGTTCGATTTGGTTAACTGCTACCTTTAAATTTCCACAAAATACTGTGATATACTGAAGTGTTTCAAAACGTTATATATAGGTGTAGTGCAAATATACAATCAATATCATATCAAAGCAGTGTATTGCAATCAGGCACTTAATTAAAATTCTTAATAAAATTTTATATTACTTTATAAAAAATCTCTTATTTTTTTCTATTTTTAGTTTGATTTAATATTTCGTTATGAATTGTCTTATCTTTGTTATCACACCAATTGTTTTGATTAATATTTTGTAAGCTCCCGAAACTGTAAACCACCTGTTTTGGCACTTTTAAAAGTGCGCCGGCGGCTAACAGCTCCAAATAATCTTATATGTGCATTATACTTCTGATAAGATAAATAATTATTTATTCATTTTGTTTTTTGCAAATTTCAGTTTTAAATGATTATGTGATAGCAATAAAATTCATGATAAGTAGACTTCCTCTTTGAAATAAACACTTCCTAAGACACTTGAGATTTTCCAGAACAAGAAATATATACATACGATTTAATATTCCTAAATGAGTCATTAGAAATTTGCACGGTTTTGTGTAATTAAATAAAATATAAGAAGTACCATATATGTTTATCTATAAAATTTATAAAAATGTTGATTATACTTTTTTTTTTATATATCCATATACATATATATTCTTACAGTATATTTTATATAAGTGTTATATGAAAAGTTCACTGTCTGATAAAATTACAAAACTTAATGTAATAAAACTACTTAAGTAGATATTGTAGATAATGTCATTAAACCTTAAACTAAATTTGAAAATAGTTAACTAATTATTTAATTTTGAGTCTTATATATACACAGTAGATAAATGCGTACATACATATAAGAAATACTGCTATCTATGCGAAGTACAGCACGCCACTGTGTATTTGATTATTTGTTTTAATTAATAACTTAATACACTAATACATTTTTTTATTAATTTTGTTTAATCAGTGGCGGTGATTTTTTTCTTATCAACACAAATGGGAAATGCAATCTTTTTTTTTTTTTGGTTTATATATGAGTGATATATTTTGGTTTTTTTTCAATTATCAGAGGTAAAATAATATCATTCATGGTTTTTATTTTCAAATGGAAGTTGAGGTTTATAGTCAAATCAATCTATCAATTTATTTGATTAACTGATATTTACATGTGTACGTATGTTTTTGTTAATAACTAATATTAAATGTATTAACATATGGTTTGGAGTCAAGTCATAGTTCTGGAAGCTTAGTCGCGTTTAAAAGCGAAATTGAGACAAATTTCGCAGATTTGATATAATATAGAATGACTCCCTGAGACATGTTGTGAGGTTTTTCATAAGAAATTATAAATTTGCTGATAACATATAGCAAACAATATGTAATTGAGAATCATGAATTAAGATTTCATTAAAATAAACAGAATTTAGAGAATTGATTTCTTTTTTATAAATACACTGATGAAAATTTTTAAGTTATTATATTTTTGCCTTAAAAATTTATATTTACAGAATTGGTATTGTTAATAAAATACAAAAATATATGAGAAAAAATATGATACTGATAATTAGTAATTTAGGAATATTTTATATTTATATATTTATATTTATAGTAAATCTTACTAAATAATGGATTACGGAGAAAGTTATTTGCTGTTTTTATTGAATTTTTACACATCGATTCAAATTTTAAGAATTATAATAAAATAATAAAAATATAATAATAAAAGTAGTAACTACTATTAACTCAATGTTAATAACGTAAATATATGTATAATATATTCTTATATATCATGTAACAGTTTTTATGGCAACTGCTTTTAAATCTGAAGTGATCTGAATGTAATTCAGTAGCATATATGTTTTTTATGTTACACATTTATTACATTGATTGATAGTATATAACAACATATTAAATATTTTTGTAAATAATCAACAAAAAATAATTCTGTTTGTTCACTACATATGGTACTTTAAGTATAGGGTCGTAGAATTTGGAGAGAAATGGTTATTTTATACTCTCAAAAACCATATTAAGTCTTCTGTTAGTTAATATCCAAACAATTATTTAGATGTATGAAATAATGTTTTATTAGTAACTTAACTATTTACATATATTATATAAATACAAAAAAGCTAGTGTCATTAAGTACTAATGGCATTCGAGTGCATCATCACAGTAAAAAAATGCGTTATAAGAAATGTGACCCATAAAAATTATAAGTATGTTTCGTATTGTAACCCCCTGACAGTACACCAAGAGTATCAGTCTGTATTGTGCATAAGTAGAAGAAGATTCTTTCATTGACAGCATCAGAGTTTTAGATAGTATACGCCTTCACATTCTACATAAGGAAGGCAATAAGTTATCAGTGCATACTCGCCCTAAAAAGTTGTACATCTAAATACAGGCTTACGTTAAATCTTTATTTTTATATAAAAAAAAAAAAATTAAACAAAAAAATTAAAAATTAATATTATAACTGCTTTGTAAAATAACAACAGCAATATGAAAACACAACGTTCTTTCACGACCTTTCATAAACAGTTTAAAAATTAATTTTTCTGGAGATATACTATTTTTTCTGTTTTGGAATGCACTTGAGGAAATAAAAATAAAAAGAAGTGAAACAAAAATATCATTTATGTTGATGATAATATGTAGATTAAAAGTAATGAATTTAATGACAACCCGGTTATGTTAAGTCCCATATAACTAGGAGTTCCTTTGAATAAAGTGGGAGAATATTACAACCATAGTTGATATTTTTTGATAGAAACTGACTGTATGGATGATATTCAACTTTTCGCATATAAATTTAAATATTTCTTATTGAGGACTAATTTCGGAGTGTTATGATCCTAACACTCATCTTTCTCTCAGTTTACAAATTGCATTTACAATTGTGACAAATTGTTGTGAGCTGTAAGGAAGGGCATTCTTCGCCAACGACTTCGTATTTAATAAATATTAATTCCACTAATTATTATTTATTTATAATTGAATTATTATTTGACAATTTCATAATTTTTTCATGTTCCATTGTATTTATAAGCTTATAAAGTTTTAAGTTTTAAAATTTAGTTAATCAAGTTTCTTTTAATTTTTTCTGTGTAATTTTAAGTGAGTACATTAAATGTGAGCAAAAATTGTTTCAAATCAGCGCAAATACCAGAGTAAAGAATTTGCTACAAAAATTACAGAATTTGCTACATTTAGCAAATAACTTTAGTTTTAATCTCGCACTTGATAAAAACAGACTTGAATTAAAACGCGTTCTATATATATTTATTTTCAATTTAAGTGAATCGCGTCACTTAAGTCAGATTTTATTCATCTTAATAATTAATAATTCAAAAAAAAAAAAAAAAAATAATTATAATAAAATTAATTAAATAATCTTGTATTGTTGTATATTAAAATTTTGACACTAAATTGATAACGCTGCCGGGAGAGCGAAGACTCAAGAACCAAGAACCGACAACCGAGAATCGAATATATATATATATATATATAAATTAACATACGCGAGTATACAAACGTATAAGTTTAAATAAATATAAACAATATATTGTCATATTCTAAAAATAGTTTATAATTATTTGAAACTTAGACAAAATGAACAATTTCAGTGTAATTTGCTTCTCGATTGTGGTTTGCATAGCCGCAACTGCGTATGCCGTATCCAGCACATGGGGCAACACAACGAACTCGGCGCAATTGTTGCATGTGGAAAATGTGTTTAATGCTTCATCGCCGGGAAAATACGTAAATCGTGAAATTAAATTTCCGAAAAATGTAAGATATTCGAAATAATGTATTGAGAACTAAAATTGCTTGCACATAATTTGAATAAATAATTACCGAGTTGAAAATATGAGGTGTGATTGGCAAATAGCTCAAATATGTTAAGGGCCTCTGGTATTCCCAATATTTATAGTGCATTATTTCATTCTAATGTTGGCTAGTATGTCTATCTTGGACTATAGATACATAATCACACATTATATTTCCAATATATTTGAATTTCAATGCAAAAGCGAAATTGAAATTTAATAATATTGTATCACATACTGTGTAGTTTGTTTTTGTTTTTTTTTTTGAAACGCATTTCAACTTTAATCTGTAAATTAAATGTATTTTTTATTGCTGTTGTTTTACATTTTGTAAAAGAATTATAATATATTTTTAAGTTTTTAATGCGTGCTCTCTAATGCAAATCAAAGTTGATTGTTAAGCGTAGTTCTACCGGAAATGTTTTGCAAATCATAAATTCACTCAACTGATAAGGCTTTTAGAAATAATTTTGCATATGCGAATATGTTTTTGCAAAAATCATAAAAGTTTCTTTTTTACAAAAACAAAAAAATTATTATTATAACTTTTTTTTTTTTTTCAAAATTATAAGTCTCTTAAATATATAACATAAAGTTGTTTTTGATGCTTGGTTTTCGGTTTGAAACAAGGTCATCATACATCATGGAACCACGGAAACATAAGGGCAATTGTGTGTAAATATTTATACACATGCCTGCATATACTCGTACATATATCAAAACTTATTCTGTTAGATTAATTTAATGAAATTTTTTAATAATGAATTCGAAAAATTTGCAAAAAATATACAATAAACACATATTGTATAAAATTAATATGTTATTTAAGTGAATAAGTGTTTTTAATACTGCGTCAATTTTTTAAAAGTTGGTTTGTTGTAATCTTCCTAGCAATAGTTACATTCGATTGATATATTTTAAAAATATTTATTTATGATTTTTTTTAAATTAATTTTTTTTTTTGACTGTTTATTTATAATGTGTAAGGCTTCTGTCAACAATTAAAATTATTTAAAAAATTTAAATATGAAATTATAATTTTTTATTGAATGTTTCTGGACTTATACTGTCAACATTTCAGTTTTTTTACTTTATCCTTTCGACGGGTGATTTTTATAATTTGTATTAAAAACTGAAAAATATGCATATATCTTTTATATTTATATAATTCAATTTATAACAAATTATTCATTCAGCTGACGTTTCTCAAATATACATTAGTACCACATTAAAATAAATTTTTAAATTTATATAATAATGCAGTTTATATCAGGGGTGTAACCAACATTGTGCCAAGGGGTATGAGGATATATACATGAAAATATTTTCTATCGAAGTTTTTTCACATTTCACTTAAATAATTATAATAACAGTTAAAAGATTATTTAAAAGGAGGTGGATATACTAGAGAATATTTATTGTACTAGTTTTTGTACAGTTCTTTAAATTTTTTACAAAAATAGGTAGAAAATTGTACCAAAAAGTGGGTACTAAGTATTTTTAAAGTCTACTGCATGGATTTTAAAATCAATTCAATAACAATTCAAGAAATTTCTACAGGAATTGTATAGTAAATAATATATATATTAGTGCTATTTTCAAGAGTATATATAAATACACTATTTAGTCAAAAACTAAAACCTGGTAAGTAGGTAGGTAAAGTGGAAGAAATATTAAGTCCTCCTCAATTAGGTAAGGAAGCCGTTCCGATTCCACATTCTTCGTAATTATGGATAGATAGTTGGGTATATTAGTACCAGATACATTTGAAGGTAAAACAAAAGGAAGACTTAATCTTTCACAGCAAGTCTAAAAAACCGTTTTGATTCCAAATACTTCGTTAGTATGCGTTGAAGGTTAGGCATATGAGAACGAGCCGAATACATTGATAAATGCAAGTCGCTGGTTAATTCTAGAATTGGAAACATCGTTGAGAGAACAACGTTCAAGCCTACATTTAGATAAGCTTAAACATGAATCAAATAGGTGTTCTGGTGTATCTTTCACAAGCGCTGGTAAACATGATTTACAAGAGTTTTGACAAGGCACACCCAATCTGGATCCATTAAGTGCAAAAATTTAGTTTTGTACAAAAATGTGTATTACATTGTGACCGAAAAGTTTTCGGGAAATTTTAAATAAAACGCAAAATTCTTAACCTTCATCAATATTTATTTTATCTCCTTCAAAATATGCTCATTAGAAGCGATACACAAATGCCAACGTTTTCTTCCAATCATCAAAACATTTTTTATAGGCGCTTTCCGGTATGGCTTTGAGTTCCCTCTGCGAATTCTGTTTTACGTCTTCTATGGATTCAAAACGCGTTCCTCTGAGTGGTAATTTGAGGTTGGGAAACAGGAAAAAGTCACACGGTGCAAGATCAGGTGAATACGGTGGCTGTTCGATGGTATTTATTGAATGTTTGGCCTTAAAATCGTTGATAATGTTGAACAAATTGAGGTGAATCGGAACAAGCCGGGCGTTGACACGTCGCATACACAAATTGTCCACCAAAATCAAACGAGCCATCTCACGACCGATGCCTAGCTCTCGTGCTATCTCTCTAACACTCACATGAGGATTTTTGAACACGATTTCCTTTGCCTTTTCAATGTTTTCGTCGGTGGTAGAGGTCGAAGGTCGTCCAGAACGCGGCATGTCTTCGACGGTCGTACGACAGTCCTGAAAGGCTTTGTACCACTCATAAACTTGAGTTTTCGATAAAACTGATTCCCCATAAGCCTTTTGTAGCATTCGCAACGATTCTGCACACGAAATTTCGTTCGAAAAACAAAATTTGATGCAAACTCTTTGTTCAATATTTTTTTCCATTGTTTTTTTCGCAACGCACTACTGAGGTGAACTGGTTTCAACAGCTGCCGTAAACGAACTGTCTGACAGATCGCGCTCATTTTTGGCATAGTAATTAAGGACAGTGCTGCCAAACTACATAAACTTAAAATATCGAAAAATATACAGCGCGCGAATTTTAAATGAGAATTTCCGAAAACCTTTCGGTCACAATGTATATTAGACACTCCAATAGGTGGAGTTTGTAAGCAATGTCACTTTAGATCTGACTTGTAAAGAAAAATAAGTCAACTTCTATTTGCTTGTTATAAAGAGTGATTATCTGTGAGTTTTCGTCTGTAAGTAATAGAAGTAAGAATTGAGATGGAAGGTTCCAACAAAGAAGTATCAAGTCTCGCTAGTGTGCTTATTCTCTAGTGTTATCTGGGAACTACTATTTAATAAGTTAATAAGCCGCCTACATTTGAAGGTGATATGTGAACTGTTCAAAAAGCTTTGATGGCTGCCTGACTGTTTGCCAGTATATAGGATAACTAAAGCTAGTTTTTATATTATTTCTTTCTCCATAGATATTGATAAACTTGTGCATTGTTTAATTTTATCAAAATTTTTAATTAGTATTAGTAATAAATTGTAAACACAAAAAATTAAACAGAATTGCATAGCGTTTATTATCGCTAAATTCTGTTGCTTAAGAGGCTTAAGATCTTTTCCCTTGATCCACTCTTCCGTATATATAATATATTTAATTAAGCAGTTAAATTAAGTTTATTAAGTTCATTTGGCCCTTTCCGTCTGTCCGTCTGTCTGTTATGCCCAAAGCTGTTCTCTCACTTGTTAAAGATATTTAAATAAAATCTGTTACAAAATCTAGCTATATTTTTTTCATTTCGGTTCAGATTTAAATTTATCTGCTATGTAAACTGCGAGATAAGACACAAAACATGTTTTTGTTAGAATGACTCTTTTACTTTTTAATGTTCATATTTTAAATTTGGAACTTCAGCATAATTTATAAAATGCATTCCCATAGGTTGAATTACCCCAAAATTAAGCCATTCGATTTCCTAGCTATATTATATAAATGAATTATTGAATAAGACTGATCGCTGTTTTCAGAGAAGATATTCAAACAAAACATGAAACAAAATGTATACATATGTATATGTAAGAATATGTACAAAATATTAGTTATATCGGTTCAGACTTCTATATAGCTGCTATATACACTACCGATTCCAACACATGTTTTTAGTGTGATAAACTATTTATTTTTGGTGTATATTTTATATATGGAACTTATGTAAGTATAATTTGAGAATGCAATCAATGTATTAAAAATGATCAGTTTAGATTTAGATATCGGTAATCCGCAAATAAACCGAAGATTTTAGAACATTTTTTTCTTAGACTAAGAAAGACTTGTTGTCATTGTACATATGTTATATGGGGCACAATAAACCCGACGGTCGTAGTGTCACATTTCATAGCAATAATAAATAAATAAATATATGTTATGAGACATCAATGTAGGTTCGAAATTCAGTATAAGAATTATCCAAGCTCCGGCAAAGCGAAAACTAACATCTTTACTTCTCTTTTTTAAATGTTGGCCTTATCATTATCTTCCATGGTAGAGTAAGAGGGATTCTTTATATTATCTCAGGACGCCATCCTAATTGATAAGTTCACAATATAGATACTTGTGTTGTAGTCTTTTTAATATTTTATAAAATTAAATTAATAGAATTCAAAAAGAATTGTAGAGAATTTAATACACTTGTGAAATGAAAATATTTGTATCAATATCATGGTGTTTTTATTAACTTATTATCTTTTTTATGGTAATTATTTATTCTTTTATGGTGCATACACATAATGTTTTATATATTTTTATCAATTTCAATAAATTACAAAATTTTTATGTATTTATTTAGGGAGTTGGGAATGGTCGAATTATAACGCATATAAGTGCATTCGATCAAGTGACGAATGGCACTGGTGGACATGCAACAATTTACTCTGGAGGACCAGGATTTAATTTTGTGACCATTAAACTACAATCACAATATAATTACGGATTAATTTTTCGCGTCGAAATTTATGGCAAATAAATTGCAAAACCTTTTGCAATGTTTATAACAATCAATAGAATAAAAAGTTACTTAATATATTTAATAAGTTTAATTTAAATTATGCACATTTTTGTTTAACAAATAGAAAATGTATGTAATATTGCTAAAAATGTATTTAATGAAAAGAAATTAAATATTAAAAATGATGAAATTCTTATGGTAATTTTAAAAGAATTTGTTGAAGAATTCCTTGTGGTATTTTAACAAAATTTGACATTAATTCCTGCATTACACATAGTACGTGGAGCAGCCACAGTACCTTCACCTTCTAAAAAAAAAGAAAAATTCAATAAAAAAATGTTAAAAACATCATAAATGTACGCATATAAATAATAAAAATTTAGTAGAATGAAAATATTTTTCAAGAAATTTGGTTTCTAATCAAATACTCTGGAAATATTTTAAGAAGACTTGTGTAGTACATCAGCAGCATTAGTAGTAGCAGCAGCAGCAGCAGTGATGCAAATTCCTTGCTACTGCTGCCATATTTGTTGGGGTAACCCGCAGCTTTCATGGATGCAGCATCCCCGTTGCTGTAAGCGAAGAAGAAATTCTTCTCAGCGAGCTGTTAAAATATAAATGTGCCAATTCCGAGTTCACTGCTGCATTATCCCAGTGTGTTGTGCTACTTTTGCACTGACTTGGCTTGGCAGACGGTTCGCCGATATGAGTTGATTTTAAGTATTTTGCATTACCCCTGGTATGGAGCATGTAGGAATCTTACAGCATCAATAACATATGAAAAACACAATTGGAGTAGCTTAATTAAAATTTCCTTGAAAACATGCACTCAATGAAAATATTATTTGAAATTCTTGAATTGAAATGATTTCAGTTTAATTGCCTCGGAACAAATATGTGAATATATTTTTATGGAATTCTTGATTTGTCTACTTTCTGCGTACCATATTATGTCAGAGTTATGTCGCTGGCAGTACTTCATTAGTTTATTTAATTTAAATAATTTGAAGCTCTATTAATTTTGCTAGGGATTCATTGTAAGTAAAATTAATTAAAATAAATGTATAGACCGTATTATTTTCAGTTCATATCTTCCAAGTGAGAAGTTAAAGCAAATTCAAGCTGAATTACTTACTTTGCGTTTGATGCCATTTATTAAACATTAAAATAAACAATAAACAATAGAATATTTTGATTTAAAATTTAGAATTTAAATTTAAGAAAAATAATAATATTAACACAATATAATATTTATACAGCAATTAATTTTAGTGATGAAATTCATCAAAATAAAATATTGTCAATATCAGAAGCGTAGAATTTCTTGGTGATGCTCTAGTTTTCAAGATAAATTAAGTCAGATTTAAAATTTTAACATTAACAACATTTATATAAATATCTTCCATGCAAGAACCTATTAACTTAATTAAGTACTATTTATTCTACTTTTCATATATGCTCAATTTTTTTTGGTTATGTTAGCTGGCACATTAACCCAATTTATATATATATTATTAAGTTTTTATTTGTTATTACTTTATTTTGGTCTGAGTTTGTTTTCTAATTTACAATTTCTCGGTAAATATTATGTATGAAAAACACTTCGTAATTCAATTATATTAAATTTTATTAATTACAAATATTTCAGACTATCTCGTAAATTATCATTTGAGTATACTGAAATAAAATAAAATGAATTTCCAATAATAAAGTTCTAAAATACAATTCACATAGACAGATAATTAAACATCAAATTTTTAAATTTAAAAACATTACAATATAACTATTTAAACTATTAACTATAATTATTATATTATTATAATAAAAAATAGATCTACAATTTGAACTATTTGAATATGTTAAATAGTTTTGGAGATATTGAGATTTTTTTTAGTACATGCTTATTCGGGAAGTGCTCTTATAAAAACTTTGTACCTTAGGATATTTTAAAAATAACTCCCACCTTTCTCTCTTTCCTATTTATTTGTTTCTTAGATCAAGGAATTATTAATCGCACATATGTTGAATAATATTCTATATTATATTATTATTATTAAAGACTAGAACGCTCTGCGACCTGAACAGATCAATTGTACATAATCTTGATCTTTAGCCTTGCATATGTAGGGATTTTTATAAGTTTTTATAATTTATATGGAGGTATAACAATGTCACCTAAGTGGTGAAGCATTTGTTTGTGAAGAACTGAGCATTCAAATAGAATGTGCTCTGCTCTTTTGAAATTATTTAAAAAAAAATTCGGTGTCAAAGAACTCTCAGCTTATTTAAGTTATTCAAAGTTTAAAGTGACCTGCAAAGTAATCTAATAAAATCCTCAAGAATACAATGCTTAGTGAAAGCATATTGCTTGATACATATATTCCCGTCGCTAAGATAAGAAATCATTTTGTCGGACATTGGCCTATATTGTTAGTGAAGAGGTGTACAATTTTTTTTCTATTATTTTCTGCTAACTTCATTTAAGAAATTCTTTGTAGGTCATTTAGGACTATAATCACCTCTTTTTTGGCTAAGTGATCAACCATTTCATTGCTTTCATGCACTTCATGAACTGCAAACCATTTTAACATTACAGTATTGAAGGGCCTTAAGGTATTAAGAAAGTATAGATTATTGTATACCATTTTCTACATAAACGTAATAGTCTAAAGCGGATAAACAAGTAAACGGTACTTATACTTACTATCTAATCAATAACCATATTACCTCTGAGTGAGCATTACCTTAACGAAATAAAATAAAAACAAAAAAAATAAAATTAATCTATAATAAAAATTATGTTTGCTATCACCTTCCATCTTTTATCTTGAATTCTAAATCTTATATGTAGTACGAGAAATTATATGCTCGTATATTCGAAAAATTCAATATGTCACTTATTTGTAAATTTACATTATGTTTATTGATATATTTTGTTTAATTACAATTTTGTACAGAAAACATGTATCACTTAAGTACTTCTTTAGTTTTGACTACTTATTTGAATCATTTACCGTCTTCCAAAGAACTCAACAGTGTAATTTAAACCTTCGCTGCGTTCAGATTTCAGATGAATTGTTGCGTTACGAAAGCCTGGGCCACCGCGTATTAAAGTAGCGTAACCGCCATGTTTACGGGCATTATCAATTGCTCTAACTCCGCTGATTATGTATTGATTCACAAAACCCTAAATATATTAATTTTAATTGTTACAACTTTATTTCATTAAGAAACTTTGTATGATTACTAACTTTTGGTGGATAAGTTACATCCTCGGAAATTACTCTTAACCAACTTGAACTTCTCACAACAAAATCCCGATGTAATAGCAAGTCATATGGTCCTATGTATCCCCAAGTAGTGTTCCTAGCGTAACCGCTATTGAAAGATATTGTTGCAAGTGCAAACGAAATGAAAAGTGCAACAGCGAGAAATTTCATTTTTATTTCGACTGAGATCCGAACGATACAAGTGAACTTTTTAAATTAAATTTTATAATTATAGTCACAATCTTTTTATTACAACAATCGTACGAATTGTGAAATATGAAATTTTTATCAAGTCTACCATGTAGAGTACACCCTTTGTTTACTTCAAGTGAACTTGGATATTAACAATTAATAAAAAAAATTACTTATACATGGTTCAGGTGACTCACATAAGCATGTTTTTAAGTATCTAATATTGTATAATTTATCTTATCATTTTCGCATGTATTTACTATAATTAAGTGGTTTGATAAAACTTGGCAGCTGTTGGGAGAAGATATATTATGCAGCAGACGTAACTACATACTTGTAAGTTATTATTCGGTAACGGAAAGATTTTAAAACACCCTGTCTATACTTCATATATAGCAGCCTATAATTATGTGGTTTAAATTTCTTGAAAATAATTTCACATTAATTAAGTGGAATTCTGTATTATTCATTCGAAAGCGAACCAAAGTTGCTATTTTTAATATTTTTTCATAATATGATACTCATTTACATTTACTTATTTTACATAAATTTTATATTATAGAATGTGGTCCGTCTGCCACGCGACGGAGCGCCACTGGGTTCTACAAAATTTATCAATCATAGTTATTTCGTAGAGTACTAGGATGACAGAAATTTTTGTATGTCGGTAAGGGTAAACCACAAATTGTTAACAAATAAGTTACAGTTTTATTGATGTTATTATTATTTAATATAATTTACTTATCAATTGAGCTATAAGTCATATTGAGTTTATTACTTTCATAAAAACAAATTTCGAATTGTCTCTAATGCAGTTTAGGTACACTTTACATGAAGTTAAAAATAATTATTTTACGATTCTTTATTAGATTCGAATCATTCATATGTTATCGATTGATCCAATTTTTGTAGTAATGTTTACTAAACAATATAGGGTTTAATTATAAAATCACTAAATGTGTTATATTTTTAATAAAATAATTTACGTGATTTTAGATATTTGAATTTATATACCTATGAGATCTGTATAAGAAAAACTAAGAGTTACACGTATATGAATTTTAATCTAAATTATCAGATTATACATAAAGGCAAATATAGTATATAGCGGTTATTTTAAATAACATCATAGATTAAACCGATATGGTGGCAATATAATATATAATGAGATATATATATATAAAAGTCCATACCAAATGGGAAATTTGTTTTTTGAACTCCTTATATCTACTTATGGAGAGGGTTTATGACACACACTGCGAAACCTAAGTTTATACATCGAAGATTATCTTAAGTGGTTTACTCAAGGTAGTCGCTATTCAGAAGCAGTATTCAAAATGTAAAGAGAAGTGCTCACATCAAATTAATTGCTACATACTATGTTATATATGAACTAGGTCTCAGTCGACAGTCGAGGAAACCGTCAGGTTAAAAAGCTAGTTCACCCCTATAGTTATAATAAGATATCCTTCTTTAGCACAACAGAGTTGAGATTGTTGGTGCGATATGTAACGGGTCACCACGGACTACGTTACCACCTCAACAAAATGGGTCTGTTCGAAGAGATAGAGTGTAAACTCCGCTTAGAAGCAGAGGAGACATCCATCTACATTCTATGTGACTGCCCAGCCTTGATCTGGGCCAGGTGGAGGTCATTGGGTCGAGAACTACTTTCACCTTCCGACATTAGGAAGTCCTCAACGGTCGACATTTTAGCCTTCATTCGGAAGGCAGAATGTCTTTTGTTCGATTAGGGTCTGTTGTAGCACAAAAGATCAATCATGGTCGCAGTGCTCTGCTCAAGTGGGAGCTAGTACCCCGTTTATTCTTATCTATCTTATGCTGTATATAAAACGGCAGCAGTCATAAAGGTTCCAGTAACTTGCGCTTCGAAGAAAATGTGAATAATATATGCTATTAGTAGAGTTAACAGACGCTGTTACTGAAGAAAAGACCTAAATGCCATTTAATTATGCTTCTTAATGATATATTAAATTAATGTAATTAATAGAAAATTTAGATATAGTTAATAATTATTAAAAATTTATTTTAGAAAAAATTTATTTACTTTTCAAATGTTTACAAAGCAAAATTATTTATTTAAAATAAAAATAATTTATTTCGAGTTTCAAATATATAATTTATTAGCGCAAGTTAACGCCTTCCGAAGAACTCAACAGTAAAATTCAACCCACCACTACGTTGAGATTTTAGATTAATGGTTGCATTGCGAAAGCCAGGTCCACCCTTGATCAAAGTACCATATCCACCATTTACACGATCATGATCGATTGCTCGAATACCACTTATGATATATTGGCTAACGTGATTCTAAAACAAAAAAAAAAAGAAAATATGATTAAAAATATTTCAAATTAATTTTAAAATTATGTATTTACCTTTGGTGGATAAATAACATCTGCACTAACTACACTCATCCAACTGGACTTCTTTATAACATTTTGTCGTTGTAATACAATATCATATGGTCCGATGTATCCCCATGTGCTGTTCGTGGCATTACCAGTGCAGCATAAAGTGGCCAAAACGGATAATGAAATAAAAGTTGCAACTCCACAGAATTTCATGTTGTTCTGTTCCTTATTACCTCACAATTGGAAAAACTTTATGATAATAACTTCAACTAGGAATGGTTGCGGCTTTTATAGCAAATTTGTAATGTTTACTTCTTCGTTATAAATAAACAATAAATATATTTATTTCAATTGGAATTGAAATAACTTTATAGATTTAGAAGTACTTTTGTGAATCACTTGCTTTCATTAGTAAATACAACAAAAAAGTTCTTATCATTTATGTGCTTTGATAGCAGCTGCTTTAATAGTTTTGTACTGAAAGGGTTTTACAGAAATACGTAGAAATTAATAAATAAAATAAATATTATTTTAACGAATGCCTAAAATTATGTTTAATTGTTATTATTAAATAAAAAATAATAAATATTTGTATTTGTATTTTTTGTTAAAGACTTTTTGCACAGTACATACGCTGACTTCAATAAAAATTTTGCAATATTAATTTATTTATTATGAGACATTTGTTAATAATTATAAATACTTTAACCAAAATTTGACGTTGCTATTGAAAAAATCATGTGATCTTTGTTATAAATATCAGTGATAGCCCATTGTCCCTTCTCGCTAGATTTACTCTTTGCATAGAAAAAAACTTCAACGTACGCCGGAATGCATTTCAGTAAAAAAATTGTTCAAGTAATTTGTTTCGATGGGCTTTCAGCTTAAAAATTGAAAAATTTTAAAATTAATCTTCTAGATTTTTTTTTATTAGACATAACTTTGATCATTTTATCAAGATGTATTAAAATATATCAGTGAATTGAAATTATAAATTATATAAATTATAAATTATAGCTACCGAACTTAGAATATTACAAATAAATCCATATTATGATAGTGGTCTAATATATCTCGTGTTAGAAAACTATCTAACAATATTAGCTGTTGTGATTGACAGTAGAGCTGAAATCGTAAAGAAATACTTTATTGCCAACAATTTTACATTGTATTCTAGATTTTTTTTACGGCAGACAATATTATTTTATCAAAAAAAGTAGTGAACTACAACAACAAAAATTCTTTTTATCATTATTTTAATTAGTGGAATTTATGGCTGCTCATATAGCATAGATTCATATAGTATAGATTCTATACAGAAATAAAATTTTAGGATTATTTCTGTTAAAAAATAAATTTATTCAATATTTACCAACTAAAAAACAATTAGAAATTGTTAAAAAAATTATTATAAATTATTATTTAAATAACTATGGATCGGCATATACAGCCACAATACTTTTAATGCCAAAACTGCGTTGTGATGTAAATCGGACCGTAACATCCGTAACCGTGCCTGCAGCAGGAATTGCAGTTATTAATTCTGCAGTTGCACCGTTTTTCATTTTTAAGTCCGTAATTCGTATGCCTCGTATGGTTCGAGTGTTTGCCTATAACGAATAAAATTTATTATATCGAAGGATTAGTTAAAATTTAGCGACTTACTCCTTGTGTATAAACAAAATCTTTAGTAACTACAAATCCAGGAAAGAATGGCTTGAAAACGGTTGTTGTTTGTATAAGCTCGACAGTAGAGTCCACCGTACCAAATGTGTAGTCATTTCCAGCCACAGTGTGGGAAATGAGTATTCCAGCAAAAGAAAGGATAACAAATAAAGACTTCATTCTGAATCCACTTTGTTTGTGACTACCAAAATAAAACTGCTCGTCTCGCTTCAAGCATGTAACTGATTGTAATGCTACCAAATGCATCAGTTTTTATGCAGAAAACAAAATTTTTTGTGTTCCCAAATTTGTCAATACACAAACAAAGATAAAAATTTGGCCTAGTTTTTTTTTTAATTCAATGCCAACGCACTGATAATACTCATACGTTGTAGAATTGTAGAATTTTGCAATATTCTATCAATATATGAAGTTGTTTTTATTTCGTAATGCTTATAGAAGTATCTATGAGGTTGTTTATCTTTTCTTTATTGCATCATTCAAAGCACTCATACTCCCTCATTGATGTGCAAGACAATGCTGTGACAAGTCAAAGGTTTCGATAATATTCTAGTGTTGTAAAATAATTGATTCATTGTTTACAGAAGTGCATATATGAAGATGATTAAAATAAGAAATATATATTTTAATTTTAGTTTGTTTGAGCTTTTCAAGTGTACGATTTAGAGCAATATTTTGTCCAAGAATTTCAGGATTTGCATTATAATAATTTTATTCACCCTTTTCTATTCCAATTTGATTTCCAATCATGAAATTCACAATTGGAAATAATAATATAGTATGTTAGTATATATACAATTATGTTATTTTGAACTTCCCTAAAACAAAGGAAAATAGCTCTAAACATACAAAGAAATATACAAAGAAATATTTCACAAAATTGATTTCTAAGCAATCGATTTTTCACTCTACACCGTACAGGTTTTGGTTGAGTATTAAGATTTATAAGGTTCTTGTTTAGTTTGAAATCATTCAGATTATTATTCGGAGTATAACCGAAAATGCACCTAATCATAGTCTTTTCTGTTGGCTTTCTTTAATCTCATTATAGGTTAGGTAGATACAATTGACTTTCTTTCAGCTAAAAAGTTTCTTTGTGCTGTAACTTGATCCCAAGGCATTTCTTATGATCGGCTAAACCCTTTAGTAACTTCGATAAATCTTCACAATTTTTGTGTGTCATTATTCGATAACAGCATTAGATCTACTAGGAAATAATATATTATGTCCGTTTATATGACAAACGAGATTATAGATGCTCAAATTCTTATTCCTATGAATTTCAAAATTCCGGCTTCTAGTTTGGGAGTATGCTTATCAAAAAAGAATGACTTGTTAGGGTATGGCGTCTGCAGATGCATTGATGCTTTCTCGTTTTAGAGTTATTCTGGTTATACTTTTATCTTTATTGGACTATGAAGATTTCACCGTGGCACGTATAGCCAAATGTCTCCATTTCCCCTTTGCTATATAAAATATTTTTCGTTTAATTGATTCTTCTAGTGCGTTAACAGTCACACTATTTAATCACACTACTCTAACATTTTTTAATAAGATACTGATAATTAGACTTTCACAAATATCAAATTTTAGGCAATAACTAAGTGTCTTCTATTTCTTTTATTCTACGCTCTTCCTATAAGTTACAGGAATGTGTATCTGTCGATAAAATCTCTGTGATATTATCATTATCATAATTATTTTCTTAGCCATTTATTTTAACTATCATATGATCTAGTGATTTTAATAATATTTCTAAATTTTAACCTAAACTTTTGTTACCAAACAATAACAGTTTTTTAGCCATTTTCACTTTCAATGATTTATTATGTTAATTATAGATTATAAATTAATAACGTGCATATATTTTAACTACATCCTTAATGCCTGCGCCCTTGCCTGATTTGAATTGAATTGTGGCACCTTTAGAGCCGGGACCTCCGCTCAATAGCTCAGCTGTAGTGCCATTCTTAGAGTTTTTGTCTGTGATCACAATGGCAGTGATTGTGTAGGCGTTGTTTGAGTCCTAAAAAAGGCATAAAAGCATAAAAACTCATTATAACTTCACTTAATGAAAATCACTTGAAAATATTGAAACAGTTAACGATGCATACTTTCTGTTTAAATACATATTTTTTGCTAACACTTATTCCCACAATAAACGCTTTTTGTACGGTGTCCTCGGCAATAAGCCAATCATTATTGCCCTTCTGGCCCCATTCGTAGTTATTGCCAGCATATGTTTGGGCCACCAAGGCACACGAAACCAAGAACAACACAAAAGCACACTTCATGATTTCACTTTAACTATCGCTTGAATGTAACTGGATTCGAGCAATCAAATACCCAACTTTTTATTTGAAAAATTTGTTTTTGTATCTGCACTTTTTTCTTTTATAATTTCATATATGTTTTATTATCAAAGAAATTAAAATGGATATTACTTCCATAGATATTTATAGACATATTGAACAACAACACTAATCGTTTGTACAATTTCATTTATTGTCATACTTAATTCCCTTTCAATTATTATTGTTATAATTTGTTTTTTTTTGTTTTTTTTAGATAGAAAGAGATCCATGTTATTATAAAATTATCTTATCTAATTAAATTTTATTGGCTTGTGGCATTAGAAGTGGATTTTTGGTTTATATGTATATACTGCCATTACTTTTTGCTGGATAAAAAGTTTTTAATGTATTTTAACGAACTTTTAATTAAAATCAAGTTCAAAATTAATTTTATAAAACATAATTTGAAAAGTGTAATAGGAATGTGAAATTTTTATCTAAAGCACAGAAATAACATCACTGCTAAGGTGTCACCGAGTGTTTCCGTATTACTGTACATTAGAAGCATTGGAAAAAGTTACGAGTATTCGAAAAATGTTCTTTTTATAATTGCAAACTAATTAAAATTTATGTGCGGATATATTTTATATAAATTTGTTAATTTTTATAAAACGTATATGTTTTGAGGAAATGAAATAAAGCAACAAATAATATAATAACAACAAATAATATTACTAAAGTACTAAGATAAATAAATAACACAACTAGTTTTGCTGTTTCTAGAGCACACAAAAAAATATATATTTTGAGGTATGGTTTCTCTGAAAAAGGATTACTTTTAATATTATACTACTTAACACTATATTAAAACAAAATTTAATTAAATTATTTTGAATTTACTAATTTGTTTTTATTGTCGTTTATATGATTTATTTTGTTCTCATACAATTTTTTTTTGTGCGGAGAGGAGGTTTAAAAATGCCTAACACATTGTCACTATGCCGTGACAATAGTGATATGCTCGGTTTGCATGGACTAAAAACAATCCCCCTCGTGTGGCAGACCGTTTCTATCCTGAAACTTTATTAGGAATATTTGAAGGTAGGATTACTGTATACATGACCAGAAAGGAATTGGGTTAGATAATAGTCTGGGATCAATCCTTTTGCCTTTGTATCCATCTTTGTGGCTACAGTTGTTGGATTTGTCGATCATTTAACGTTGTGGCTTGTTGCTGCTTAAGTTGCCACCTTATTTTCCTTTCTTCGACTGCTAGACCTATAGGTAATGTTCCACTGATGACCAGCACGGTATGCTGAAGCCACTCTCAGAGCTGACGTTCGTCGTACTGATTAACATCAGTTTCTGTTCTACTTTCAGCGAATCAGCTCATATTCGCTTCTGTATAGTATGACAGAGGACAGAGTTGTTGACGTTAACAATTTTCGTTTGCTTTTGGGCCGCCAAAGTTTGCCATTAGTCTACTTAACGTTGCACTAACCTGTGCTGCCTTGCTGGCCGCTTATTGGTTTTGTGCCCAGAATGATAGGTTGGAATCCAAGTTCAGGCTAAAGTATTTTATTACTTTTTTTGGTAAAATCTCACTACACATACGTTTATCTCGACTTCTAGCGAAATGTGAAGTCACGTGAGTGGAAGTATTCCTGTTTTTACAGTTGCAAGCTTTAGACCATGATCTGATGATCGTCTAGATCTTTGTTCTCACCATAACTTGACTTAATTTGTGGCGTGCTTCAAATAAATATATCTGTTATACCGTCAGCAAAAACCACTAAGTGTGAATTGTCTGGTATATCCACTTTCAGAATTCCAGAATTAATTTGCCTTCCAAAGACTACGTCCAAGTAGGGACCCTTCGGCGGCTCCTTATGTTATATGAATTTTCTTTATACCTTCACGTGTCTCGTAGATGAGTTCTCTATCGCTTAAGGAGATTTGTTCATATTTAATAATTTTTAGTTACTATACGTTTTCATTTTATACGTTATTTACAAAAAAATACTTCTCCTCCTTCTTTCGATATAGTTTAATATTTATTGTATACTTTCGAATGTCTTTTAAATTTTCCTTTAGTTTTTTCTCAACTTATGAACTTGTAGTTCTTACTTATTTAATAATAAATTTATTTTTTTAAAATCAAAGTTGTGTAAGTCAATTTTTATTAATTAAAAATGTATTAAAAAATATTATTCAATTTAAATATATTATAATAATATTAACATTATTTACATATGTACATGACGTAATATAAACTCAGTATATGACTTTCATTGTTAAAATGTGAATGATATTGACACCCCGAGAAAAATTAATTTACTGTCGCCATATATCTATAAATTTTTAATTTAAAAATGTGAAAAAATATTGATCTCCATTACTTATTCCTTTGATTTCCAAAGAATATTTATGCGTTCACGGTATACAAAAAAAACTATTTTTGAAGACGGTAGGCACCGGCGACTCATTTGGGTACTTTATTTTGGGTCCATAATTATTTCAAGAGAACTAATTCATTAATTAAAAATATTAAAAGTAAATTAGGAACTATTTGATTGTTATCTAAAAGAACTCTTCCGTCGACCATGATTATATTAATTATAATTAATTATAATTAGTTATTATATAATGATTACTATTTGAGCAGTGAAAACAAAATTTGTTGTTAAATTTTGTTATATATATGCAAAAAATTTATATTATCAATTTACTTTATATTGAAATAAAAAAGAACAGAGTAGACTTTTCAGTTTTATAGCACAACAGAGAAAAATTATAAAGAGCATGACAAATTCACAAATACTGAACTTAGTCCCTTTTAAAGTTTATATATTACTGATATTTTAAGAATTTTGCTTTATTTGTAGAAAGTTTTGTTATAAGTTAACTTAAATATGACAATAAAAGTTATATTTCACTTGTTCAGTTTATTAGTTATATTACAAATAGTCGGATCTGAGCGACAACATTATAGTTTCGGTAAAAGAGTTGTGGGAGATGTGCTTTTCGAAAAGAAAATACTATTTGTGAGACCTGGAAACGCAAATGTTCGAGTTATACATACCTTTATTTCAGATGTAATATATAAATTTTATTATTAATTAGAATATTTTTGTTATAAATGTATCATATTTATTTAAATAGTTTAGGAAAAACCAAGGTGATATAACTGCAATCATTGCCAGAGATCTACAAAGTGAAGGCACTCAAGAATCCATGGCTCTTGTGATGCCATTTTATGGTGGTGTTTCCAAGAATTATGCTATGTTATTATTTATTAGTAAAATGGAGAAAGGTTTCAGATATCGAATTGAAATCTATGGCAATAAATTGATTAAAAGAACTAGTCAAGGTACCATTAAAAACAGAGTTTTTGGATAAAGAATGTTTTTCAAAATAAATTAAAAGAAATGTGTTTCGGTTAGTTAAAACAGTATTTTATTGCAATAAAAAAAAAGAATCAAAACAATATTGTTTTTTACTATGATCAGATACAAAATTAAAAACAAATCTTATGACTTTTTAATAAAAAATAGCAGAATAATCTAAGAAGAATTATTTATAATTGCTGTTTGAAAGATGCCATTAATATAATATAGCTTCTTCCATATACCTACATGGAAAAACATTAATTATATATAATATAATATATATACATAAAAACTGCAGAAAAAATTAAATTAATAATTAAATTAAAATTTACATTATTGGTGTTATTCTTAAGAGGACTTTTCATGCATTTTTTACGCCAAAGTTCTTGGCACTAAAATTTATGCTAAAGAAATCTAAGATTATAGCTGGTCCGGTGAGATGGTTAAAAATGGTCCGTGAATCAAACTTAAGAAATGCGGATACATAGCTTGTAGTTTGTCCATTGGGACCTCACTTATTAAAAAATAAGCACTTAAAATATATAAAGTAATTATATTCATATTTTAATGCCCATATAATATACCTATGCACTTATAGAATTCATTATATGGTACATCACACCTTAGATGCATGAAGCATATCAAAATAATGACACAGCTTATTATTATTAAACTTTATTATTAAACAGTAAGTTTTATTACCAAAAATAGTATACAACCTGGGTACCTTAGGCAATTGTTATATAGGAAACGTTTTTCTTAACTTCATTTTATAAATAAATCATTAATTCTTTATGCATTCGAATTTATACTATATACAAAAATAGTTCATTCAGCTCAGTGCAGTACATGCAGTGCAGACCAATGAACATAGACTAGAGACTTAATTTCTGTAATTCCTTTAATTAACTTTAAGTTTGACAGTATATGCATTACTTATAATCCAATCATGTCATACTTATATTTCTGTGAAATATGAGCTAAAAATATTTTAAGATTAAAACATATTAGGGGTATTCACACTGTTTCGCAAACTCATTGTAAATTACATGAAATACAAAAATGCTATACTAAAATTGCAAGAGTTCGAGTGCAGAATTGCAACATCAATGAAACAGATGTTTTTACAGCATACCACATGCACATGAGAAACAAACAGAGAAAATCTCAAAACAGCTGTTTCTTCTCCTTTCTGGTTTCGTAGCAAGCATATATACATGGGTTTAGATATAGCATGATTGTAAGCAATTGCAAGAAACTTTGTGCGTGTGTTTTATTGTTGTACATTGTAAGCTCGCGCAAGCTGTGCGTGTCGTGCACCTTACAATGAGTTTGGAAGACAGAGTGAATACCCCTATTATATATTAAGATGAAGTCACATAAGTGTGTCATGATATTGAAAGTAATCAGAAAGTAATTTTAGTGGAGTTTATTTAGAATTTACGAGGTAGAAAAATTATACAGATAGAATATAATGTAAAAGTTATAATAGAATATAAGACAATTTAGATGTATGTGTATATATAATTATCTAAACATTTGTCCTTAATGAATATATATTTATTATAATAATTTGATATGTTAATATTTATTATTATAATAAATGTATTTTAATATTGTGTATATATTTAATTAATATTCCGATTCATCGTAGCTGAAATAAAAGTGCATATTGCAACAGCAATTTCAAAATCTAAATTTAATAAATTGATACAGAAAAAATTACTAGTATGAAATCAATCGAAGACCCTGACTAATACAGAATTTTTAACGCACTAGACGTGATGGGTATATATATGAGTACTTCAAACTATTTAAAAGCAGTTTAAATTTTATTATAAATAATTTTGCTATATGTAAAAAATGAAAGCTAAATCATTTGTCTTTCTGTTTAGCTGTATTATTTTAGTAAAATATGTAAAATCTGAAATTAAAAATTATAACTTCGGTTCAAGGTTACCAGGAGATGTCTTATTTGACACACAAATGATACGCGTAAACGCCAAAGCCTCTCTGGGTAGAGTTATATACACATTTGTACCAAACGTAATAAAAAAAAATATTTGTTTAATGATTTGTGTATTTTTTATAAAAAGTTTTTAACTTTCAGTGCGTCGAAAGGACGGGACGCATTTCTGCAATTACTGCACAAGATATTCGCAGACCAGGTTTTAGGGATGGTCCAGCTACTGTGCTTCCATTTTATGGTGGCGTAAATAAACGTTATGTGATGTTATTAATTGTAGGTAAACGTTATAAAAGTCTTAATTACAGAATAAGCGTTTACGGAAATAGATTAGAATAGGTATTTAGTTTGTATTAATTTAGAAATAAATGTATTATATGCAATTTATATTTCGATAATAATAAATAATGTATTTTATAATAAATATTAATATTTTAAAGTTTTTTTTTTCAATTTTTCATTATTTATTTTTAAAAATATTGTTTCATTTTCATAGTTGTATTAATAAATAAATAACTCTTTATTAATACATGATTACACATTCTTTATTCTAATGAATTTTCCGGCTATAATGTTTTACTGAATATGTATGTTTTATTTATTTAATTTTTGTTTTGTTGAGTTCTGCCTATAAGTCTTTATTTGGATAACTCATAAAGCAGAGATTTCTATATTAATCTGAGACAATTTCTAAATACAATTTTTAAACCATTCTCTATTATTTGCAATAGGAATTATTTGGATTTGTAGTTCTCTAATTTTCGTTACCTTTCTTGCGTTCTATCCAGTAGTTTCTAATGGAAACTGCTGACACATCAATTTTCTTGTGAAATTACATATTGAGATATGTGACCTTAGAAAAGAATTCTGAAAATTTGTATATTATGAAAGGTTTAATCTTATTAATAGTATTAAGAGATATTTATTTTAAGAACCGGATTATATATATAGTTACATATAGTGATAGTCTTTTTATCATTTGAGTATAATGTATAATTGTGCCTAAGGTGATTAGAATAATCTTTTGTATGATACTAAAATTAAATAAATATCCAAGAAATTACAACAGACAAGACATTAAAAAGAAAAATTTAGAAAAATTTATTTATACATGTTGGCTTTCAAATGCGAGTATCCATATTATTACGTCAATAAGCTTTCAATTATAATAATTCATAATTTTTTGTATATATAGTGGAAATGTCACTGGATGAAATAAGTCAAAACATTACAAGACCTATATTAATATAACTACTGTTAATTTTTAACACATACTTAATATGTTTTGTATATATATAGATGTATATATATAAATATACTTGTAATAATGTTAACTTTAGTAAATGTTTAAATTGTGATAATGCAATTTTACACCATTTATTTCTTGAACTCGTTTCTGGAACAATACTTAGACAAAAAGTAAGTTTTCAGTTAGATGATAATATATGCAAGTCAACTATATACTTTTAAATTGTGACCTTTGTTTGACTATGTATTTTCTACCATGACGAATTAAAATTTTCTGTTATTAGTATAAAAAGCTTATCTAATTCAATAGTATATGCAATTTGAAATGCAAACTAGAACTGCAAAATAATAGCAATGCAACAATATAAAAATGTAATTACCTGTTTTCTACGGACAGTTAATATTTGAAATTCTAGAATAAGTTTTGTTTTACTAACATGAAGATTTCGTTATGTATTGTGTTACTTACATTCATCCTTGCTATACATATTGCTGAAGGCCAACAAAGAGATATTGTATATGGACAAAGAGTACCGGGAGATTTTCTTTTTGATCGTAAACGAGTATCTGCAAAAGCAAAACTTACCAGAGTTCGGGGATTTTATACATTCGTATCTGATGTAATATATTTTTACTATAAATTGGAAAAACAAATTTTTAATTTAATTTTAAAACTTGTTATAGTGTTATAAAAATCAAGGAGTTATTACAGCTATTGTCGTACGGAATAAAAAATTGTTTGATTTGGGACAAACTGTTGTTCTCCCATTCTATGGCGGAGCCGGTAAAAAATATGCAATGTTATTGTTCATCAGCCAAAAGAGACAAGGATTTAAATATGTTGTTGAAGTTTATGGCAGACCATATTCACAAGAACAGCAACGACTGCAATACTATTAATTAGAATTAATTATTTAATAATATTATTGCTATTTTGAAATTATTGTCAAACAAATTCCATTATATGTATATAATAATTAAGTAAATATTTTTATAGGTTTAGTGTCATTTACAAATGAGATGCTTAAAACAATTAATAAACAAATTAAAGAGTTTTTTGTACTGAACTCTCTACAACTGTAATAGAGATTTGTGTATCTTATATATAAAAGTTATCTGCACCGTTATCTTTAGTTAGATATTTAAACTAATTCTACATACATGAAAAATGAAACATTAATGGTGCAATATCATTTGTTTTCTTATAATTTATATAATTACAATTTTCAAAATTTTATTTTAAAAATTATGTTTTCAATTCAATTAAAACTAACAAGCACTGCAGATATTTTTGGAGCTTAAACTATAGGCGATCTAAATCTTTATAATTTTATTAGTTAATTTTGTTCAGTCAAAGCCAAGGTGTCACAAAACTTTAGGTTTAAAGAAATTCAAAACTTTCCTAACTTATATTTAGAGTACAAATATGTATTATCAGAGTTCTTACCTTTGGGTAAATATTACACATTTCTTTGTATTGTTTGACTGGTTTTTTTGTTGAGGAGGTGGAATGCTTTATGCACCGTCAAACCAACCGTCATTAGAATGGTGCGCCCGAATACTTAACATTAATACGTAGTATATGGGCTAAAACACCCCCTCATCGACGAGAATTATTCCCCCTCGGAAACGCTTTGGCATTACTGCGAGTAGTGTCTCTTTTATATTGCATTTCAAGCCATGCTCTTGTGATTTTCGATCTGCGTCCAGACCTCCACTTTTTTACCCCATTTGTTTGGTGTCTGTACTATTTATTAGCCTAATTTGATTGTTTGACATAATTTTTCACAAAAGATTGCACCGTTGCATCGTGCGAAAGCGATACGACACTATAAAGTCTTAAATACCTCAGTACCAATTTGGGGTTTAAAAATTTTGTCGTTTTTAAAACACTTAAGTTTTTTATATTATATTGACTTTAATCACTTAAAAATTTAATATATTAAAATTAATTAAATATTTCTATTTGTAGGTGCTTGGGTATGAAATCACCATTCATAGAGTTCACCAATGAAGTGGAATTATTAGCAAATAATAGCGTCCCGCTAAATATCACCAAAGATGAGCAAGCTCTTATGCATCAAGAAGGCTTACGTAAATTGGGTACATTTATAAAACCAGTCGATTTGCGAGATTCATCAACTGGTTTTGTTAAAGCAAATTTAACAAAAAAAGTTTATGGTGGAACAGTTGGCATCCAAATGCCACGTAGAATGCATCCCATACAAGAGGAAATGGATCAGAAACAAATTATATTACTTGATGAAGATACCGATGAAAACGGTTTGCCTGCCAGTTTAACTGATGAAGATCGTAGATTTATTGTTCCAATGGCACTAAAAAATGCATCACCTGATCCACGTATACCTATAACAACACCAAAAACAACAACGACAACACGTGCTACTACGACCACATCCAAAAAGACCACCACGTCGGTATCGCCCGATTTTGCTGCCAATATTGATGATCTAAAAAATCATATACTCTTTTTGCAAAATCTGACAAAACATGATAGTAATTTTCAATCTAAATTTGTAGTTTTTCCCAGTCTTCAAAAAGATAAATACAAACAAACTATAGGAACTACTACAGTGCGTCCACAAAGACCTATTTTTCATTATTCTGCTCCAATATTACCACCTACTCGAAAAACTGCAACAAATAAATCACCGATTGGTCAACCATTTGGTGGATACTATCACAATGAAGATGATGATAGCATGTCTATCTTTTTATCACAAGCTGGCAACAGTGATCGTGATAAAATAACAATAGTGCCACAAGTTCTACTACTAAACGATCAAACAAATGGCAAAAAACTTGATTTCGATCAATTTAGTAGTACTTCAACAACTCCACTACCGACAACTACTTCTACCACACCCGGCACTACCACACCGAGACGTCCGACTAAGAAACCCGTATGCCTACGAAATCCGGAATCACAAAAATGTGTTCGCCAACGAAAACGAGAAGAGCTACAAAGGCAGCGAGATCGTGAACAATGGCTACGCGAACAAGCCGAGTACTTACAACCACGTTTCGAACCCTGGGTGCAGACACTAAACAACACCAAACGTTTTGCAGTTTCAATAGAGATACCAGATTCTTTTAAGAAAATGATGAACAAATCGAATGATGAACAGATGCAGCCTTTTGGTGAGATGGTGCTGCCGGTGCTTTCGCGTGCAGTAAGATCTCAACCAAAGCGTCGAAATATTGGTGGTGGCTTACAAGGACGCAATGGTGATAAATTTGCTACAAAATATGGCACCACTCATTTTGAACGAGAAGCTGTCTTAGCAAATGGAGCGCGTGATTTTCTGCTTGCTAATCCAGATCAATACTCTTTGCTACAAAATGGCACAAGTCCCAGTCCTACAGTAGCGGCGTATTCTGAAGTTGTTGATTTAAATCCCGACAATTGCTATTTGGTAGATGGTATGACATATGGGCAGAAAAAGCAATGCGTTCTACATACAAGTGTTATGCCAGCAATAAGCAGAGGCGCACGCGCTGCTATACAGGTAAGTTCAACAAAACTGATTTTAGTTTAAATAAATTTATATCTGAAAGATAAAATTTCTAAATTTTATGTTATACATGATATATACGTAAAGGATAGAGCCCTGAAATTATTTGCGAAAACTGACAGACTTACCAACGTCACGTTATCAAATCAGAATAGTTACATGGTCCTAGGGGAGGTATGCAGGTCTAAAGTCAATTATTGCTTAGTCTGATGAAGTGATAAACAATAGTCAAGGCGTAAAGAGGGGTTTTGATGATACCTCGAGTTAATAAAGAGTAAAAGTGCTCAAGTGCACTGGCTCAAATACAAAAAGTTATTTAATTATAAGAATATTTAATTCAAAACGTTTTAAAAATATCAACCATTTTTGTTGAGTAATATTTATATTTTAATATGATAGTCTATGTAGCTTTCAAATCTGTGCAGTATACATAAAATCCCTAAGGGCAAGTAACATTTTGAACAATTATACGATATTAAATTTTCGTTGTATACAATCGAAATATTTTTATTTTACATTTTTAAAAAGAAATTTTAAAAAATCGTTGAGTTTAACAAGGAAAGTATCATATACAAAATGTAACGACTCTTAAATCCTGGTGGGATTTCTGTTTTCTAAATAACCAAAAGGGGCCATAAGCAAATAAGAGAGCACATGCATGTAAGTCTGAATTATTAAGGATACAAATAAACGAGATTTTTCGCAAGTGCCCAAAGCAAGTTGCGTCCTTACATAAAAAACTGTCCATGGAAAGAAATGGTTGTAAGACTGAAACTAAAAAAGCGTTCATGGTCTAGAAAAATGGCGAAAACTTAAAAAATTAAATTATTTTTAAGTTTTATTTCATATAACGAAGAAGGAAAATATTTGCGGGTGAAAGCTAAACGAATTTAAAAAACAAACAAAATATGGTGTTTGGGAAAAAAAAAAAAAGGCATTAAAAAACTATATAGACGTGATACAAAGGGAAATGAGAAATGTTTTAAATATAGCAAATATGTTGTATTTAAAGAAATTAATAAGAAAAAGGACCCAATATCTGTAATAATGACGGGAGTACTTATAAACTAACAAGATACTCACATCAATTGAATTAAAATAAATTTAAGCGGTACGATTAAAAAAAATCCTATAATCTACTTGTCTATAAAAAACTGATAAAGATCTGGTTTTCAGGATCTAGTTTTCTTGAATGCATTCAAAAGTATATTAGCGGAAGAGCTTTCAAGCTCTCTGATACTGCGGATATCTACTAGAATGCAAAATTTTTTATCACAAGTGGCGTATATGTCAGATTTTTAATTCTAATGACATAAAAAAGCATGTTCCTCTTGTCGAAGTATATCTATACTTGACAATAAATTCGCAGTCTTACTGGCCAGTAAAGATTCTGCAATATATATAAATGAGGCCTACTTATCGATTCAAACTTCGAAAAACTTAGAACTTTAAAAGAATTTTCTATTGTGGTGACAATTGATTTGTAAAGAAAAACATTGTTACTGAAATTCTTCTCTCTCAGGCTGTTTTGAGGGCATCGTAATGGGCTATAGATGTCTTCAAGTTAAGGTGTTGATAGTTATATTATAACACGCTCTCCTAACCTAACCGAACCTATTAGTGATTTAAAATGATGTAACTATATTAAGCACTCTAGGAACTCTAGGTTAAAAACACAAACAATGATTAACTGAAATTATACGCTTAAAATCTGCGACAGTTTTGATTTAAAAATGTCCAACCTTAATGTTAAATATCTTAGAAACTAAGCAACTATAATTGACTAAGGTAATTAAAAGTAAATAATATTTATATCATTGACTTTATTTATTTATCAGTCAGTATATGAGTAGTATGATTCTAAAATATAAAATCATCACGTTTTAGGTTACGTTAGAGTTAACAAAATGATTTCGATTTCCCGGGCACGCTCATTTGACAGCGAATGAGTTACTTCAAGAACTGTCTATTATAAAATCATTAAACTTAAGATATAGGTTATTTTAGGTAAGGTTCAATCACTGCTGAATGAGCTGGTCCTGGAAATCGGAGTAGTGCACTTAACGCAACCTAAACTAATAGAGCTTATATCTTAAACGTGTTAGCCACATATTGACTGATAAGTAATAAAAATCAATTATCTCTCTGTTATTTATTATTACACAATTTATTTGTAAAGGATTTTTTTCAGTTGATTCTGTTTGAGTATTATTCTTCTTATTCTTCTTAGAAGTAGTATTCTTCTTATTATTCTTCAGTATTCTTCTTATCTTATTCGAAATAGACTTTCCTTATATGTTCCTTATTAAGTAAAGTAATACATTTAAGTGTTTGCTTTATTGAATATTTTAATTTTGTGGATTTACTTTAAATTTTCATTCATTTTAAAGCTATTATCGCAGTGATGTATAGTATATCGTATTGCTAGCAGCGTTTTCAAAGAATGCGAAAAAGTTAACTTTTACTTAAAGCATTCGAATAGTACGAACTCGTCCTTTTATTCATATCTCTTTAAACATATTTCTTCTGTTTAACATTTTGAGAAAGTGAACGCAGCTGCATATTGCCTGGAATCAAAAACCGAAAAAAGAAAATTAAAAGTAAAAGTAAAAGTACAAATTTCAATAGCGACAGTGAATAAAGGACCGAAAAAATGATATGGCAGGAAATCCGCTTTTAAAGGAGCCCGATTGCAGCTACCACCGCAGTCAGTGCTGCATTACTTGCAGGCGTTGCAACAAATGCTACATTTGCCCTACTCTATTTGCTTAAGTGCAGCTTAACTTGGTAAACGTGTAGGTTACTGCAGCAGATTGTAGATTAGAGGAGAAGTTAAGCACAGCAAATGAAAACTATCGTATTTGTTAACGTTGTCCTTCAGCTCAGCTCTGCTCAGCTCAGTTGAGCTCTCATCTACATAGTTTTTTAGTTAACATTACTCAGATAAAAATTTCGGTGTGCTCGTGCTTTTAATATGAAAACAAATGCCATAAGAGGAAGCGTACGTTGAGATAATAATTGTATGGCAGCAAATGCTGGTCACCTTAGTAACTTTAGTGAAATCGGATAAAGCTTGCTTAAACACAAACGCTAGGGTGGGATTTCACATTTCACAGTAATGTTGTGCCAGTTTACATTTATTTTATTTGCGGAAATGTTGGTTTACTTTAGTATGTTTACTTTTTATTTGTTTACATTTCGTGTTTAATTATTTATTCCTCAAATAAATACGCTTAAGTAAAACCGCGCAATTCATTTCGTTGGGAAAATATGAGTTTCATTTGCATTTAATTGTCTTTGCCTTTTGGCAAGGATATTCAATTATACGTTCCCTCTCTAAGTCCTCCGCAACGAAATCGCATAAATTATATTAAATTTTTGTGGAAAAATATTTTTATTTTCCAATGCATAAATTATGATAATTCTGCTGACCATAAAATCATACAAAGTATCATTTTCCATCTTGTAATTAAACAATTTTTTTTTGCTTCTCTTAGTGTTGCTATTTTTTGCATTTTATGCAAGTATCTTTTTCGCTTTTATTTATGAAGTCAATATAAAACTAACAAATTTTTTTCCCTGTCTATCTTTTATATAAGAATTGTTCATATTTTCCGTATTTTAGTATTTCATTTCTGTGAGCAACCCACTTTTTACTGATTTTTTGAGTTGTTGCCTTTGAACTTATTTTAATTAGCCTAAATGCTTTTTCCGGCATTTTGTTTTACATTAGCCGTGGCTTCAAGCAATATTTCCTTGTTGCTTAGCTATTATTTGGCTTAAACCAAAATTAAAATTTTCGCCGGAAGTAGTGGTGATCTTATTACTTGTCTATCAAACACATAATTAGGTAAAATTAAATTATTTTAATAATGTTGCTTTAATTTTGAAATCTCTCTTTGCCTTAAGCAAATAATTTATTTCCGACTTTGTGGTTTACATGAAAAGCTCCTCTTGATTTTATCAAATAAATTTGAATAATGTAAAAATTTTATTGCATGCATTTTGAAGAGTTGGAGTAAAAAGTTTATGGGGTAGGTACACATAAAGAAATTTTTTTTTTTTTAATTAATTGTAATATGCGGTTAGAGATACTTCACAAAATTAAATTAGTACTACGTAAAAGGTGGGCTACTCTATTTTGTCAAGTTATTCTCCTTTATCTCTTTGACAAAAACATTACCCACAGTTTTACAATTTTATTAGAAAGCTATTTCCGAATGTCTTCAAAATCTGCAGGCTAACGAGGAAAAAGGCTATCTGTTCCACAAATATATTGCTTACAATTTTACAACTTTATTATAAAGCTATTTCCGAAAGTCTTCAAAATCTGCAGGCTAACGAGGAAAAAGGCTATCTGTTCCACAAATATATTGCTTACAATTTTACAACTGTATTATAAAGTGATTTCCGAAAGTCTTCAAAATCTGCAGGCTAACGAAGAAAAAAATTTTTAATAGATAATTTTTATCTCTTTCACAAATATATTACTCACAGTTTCCCAACTTTATTATAAGCGAATTTCGAAAGTCTTCAGCATCTGCAGGCTAACGAAAATTTTTAATAGACGCTATCTGTTCCACAAATATATTACTTACAATTTTACAACTTTATTATAAAGCTAACGAAGAAAAAATTTTTAATAGATAACCAACACAAGGACCCTATCGTAATGCATTCCTAATAAAGTTTCAGTGTAGAAACGGTCTGGCACACGAGTGGGATTGTTTTTAATTGTTTTTAGTCCGTATAAATCAAGCATACCACTAATACGACGTTATGACGTTGCGTTAAGCATTTTTAAAACTCATCTCTGTACAAACAAAGAAAAAGGTCTTCAAAATAAGCCCTGAGTCTGGTTGCCATTTTTGTATTTAGCACGTATTTTTCTCTCTACGGCATCGATTTAAAGTTTGTCAATAAATAGCAGTTGCAAAATGTGAAATCTAAGGTGGTAGGCTAGGTTGGCGTGGCGGCCTTGTGTACCAAGAAAG